ATTTTAAGCCCAACTTTCGTATTTGAATGACGATTAAAATTTAAAAAAGGCTTTTGGATTTTTAAAAATCTTAACTATAACTCTCTGTTGGACAATAAAAGCATGTTCGATGCGACATAATCTTTGGTACTAAGTCGGTCAAAGGAATCTGAGGAATTTCCAAATGGATGATTGTCCGCGTAAGACATGGTAAGACTGAGCACAAAAGACATCTTATTCTACTGAGTAAACGAAAAAGACCTCCGTAGAGAAACACATGCTAATTACCGTGCTACGGTTGGCGTTCTGCTTCTTTTCGCTCACCTTTCGTTTTGACACAAACGTTTGTATCGATTCAAGTCGATAATTCGTGCAGTCAAGTGTAAATAGTTGCGCGTAGTTGGCTACAAGAAAGAAGAATATTTACGCCTAATATTTCTCTTCCGTTTTTATTGGCTAACTCAAGAAAGGATAAAGTTCCTCTCTTGTTAATTACAACCGAAATTTCTATCAGGTTCGTATCAAAACGACCGGTTTCACCTTTATTCAGTTTTCGCTGATTTAGAATTGTTATCAGGCATTCATTTCTTGATAGACTGTCTACAGTCCGATATATTTTTTCTCCATGCAATTGTCGAAACCGACCACTGAGATCGACCGCCATCTTGAGTCGTGAAAGAGCGTAGATTGCGAATGATGGCAAGAACTGTTGATTGGGTACTTTCTTCATTCTCCTATTTATCAAATTAAGAGTGCCGAGCGGGCCACGTCTTTATGGGAAATCAAGATTGTAAATTCAGAATTCTAGGCGTAAAAAAGTTGTTATGATAAAGAAACATGAAAAGATTGTTAAAAGCCGTTTACTCTTCTAGTTTAAAATTCAAGAATAGAAAATAGGATATTTAACCTCTCGCTGGTCGTAAGTCCTCATGCCAGGACAAGTTTTACTAAACTAGCTTACTCAGGCTTTTCGTGGCATGGAGTCAGGGGTAAAATGACGTTGTGGAGAGGGAAGGAGGGGGGGTGGATAACGAGGAGTCGATCTTGAACTGTTTTTGTCTTTGTAAGAGAAGGTTTTATCACTGTTGTTGGTAAGAAATAAAAATTATATGTGCATTCGACTGTATATAGAATATGCAATAAATGTCTGCGGCTGCTATTATACATACCGTAGAAAAAACAAAAAAATACCCGATCTCTAACTGAAACGCCCCATATCTTACAAACGGCCCCTTAGAATTTCAGTTTTGTTAAAAACGCGCATCTTCAAAAATTCTTCTCCCTAAAAAATTGAACTAAATGGAGCATCATTAATTTAGACATTGATGACGTTTATGTAAGTCAACCGATAGTCATCAAATTGACGACGATCAAGAACCTCAGTCGACATTAAAACTACAACAGTACACTCTTTTTATTCCTTTTCTTTTTTTAATAACATCATTAATAGTAATCCTGAAGTTACAGTTGTATCTCACCATATGTTGGTACACGCCCTCTTAAAATCGACGTAAATTATGATGCTCCGGGTTTTTTATTAGCTCAGTAACACTACTCGGAAGAAGCTGCCTCGTACCCAGACGTCTCTCTCGATGAAAATATGCGCGCAAAGGAAGGCGGGAAGGACACAACAGGCTTCGCCTGCCGTCTGTACCCTTCCCATGGTCCCTTGCGGTTCATTACCAGTCTCTCGCGTTTCGCGCTCGCCTCTACCGTGCGAAAAACCGTGAAGCGCCTGAGAAGGAGGCTGTCTGAAGAAGTGAAACCGCGAAACTGATAGGACTTCAAGCAATATTAAAGAGATCTTGTAAGCAACTTTTGTGCCATTCGTCCTACTGAATGTAAGGTAACCATATTTTTTGTTTTGCTTTTTTAACTGGGGATTTCAACGTGGTAGCTGTTGTCTACATGACATGATGAGGTGAGGCGATAGCTGGAATGTGATCTCGTAAAACAGAGACCAGCGTTATTCAGGATCATGGTGCAGTGTTCTCGTAAAACTGGCTCGATGTAGAGGCCAAGAAGTGCTGCGGCAAGTACACCTGCAATTATAGCCACTATTAAGTACCCCATGGCGAACTCCTTTTCAGGTCCTTCAAACTTTACTTTGAAAAACGCTACTGCATTGACGTAGAAAACACCGATCCCGGCTCCGCAGGAAAACGATAACAGTAAAATGATCCAAACGTTGGGTAAAAAGCGGTACCAGACAGCCAGGATAAAGAATAGAAGGTGAAAAACTTGGATGATCGCCAAACCCCATAGACAAGGGATCTTAGCTTTTTCAGCCCAATCAGCTTTGATATATGACAAGATCACAAGATAGGACCTTCCAACCACCTCGCCTCCCGTGAGCGTAAATATATAGTACTGATAATGGTCACGTGTACTAAACGGAGCGTTTGGAAATGCTAGTGTTGTTACGACGGACACATAAATGAGATATTCTGAGAACCAGGCAATATAAATTGTTATTAAATCAGGCAGCATCTTCCATATAACAGCAAATTTTTCTTGAACTGAAAGGTGGTAGTCTCTTGAATTATTTTTGTCATCTCTTTGACTGTCCAATTCTTCACATTCATACTCTGTTGAAAGATTGCAAAATTATGTTATGGTTTACCGGATTAAACTACACTGAAACACCAGTTCAACCAAATTAACCCAGTTTCATATTCACAGAAAATGACTGGCCAAAAGACCGGGAAATATTGTGATAAACATTTCCCGTATTCCATTCCGGCAAAAAATGGGTAAAATCAAATCGAGTGTCAAAGACAACGGACATTCTGACGATCTAATCTAATGATATCCCTCGAGGTATATCATGCTGGGACGGATCCAGAAAAACTGAAGGATTTTCCAGCTACAGTGGTCTTTCCAATTAGCGACAAATATACTCTGAGAGCGTTTAAATGCAAAAAGGCTCTAGAGGACAGATCACAAAGAATTCTTTACAACTGTTTTAACATAATTTTAGAAAAAAGATGTGGAGGCCATGCCCCAGGTCTCTTTGGCCCCCTCGGCCCCTTCAGCCCCCTCGGTCCCTGTCTAGATCATCTCTTGTAAATCACCTCATTAGCATTATATTAGCAAGTTCAGTATTTCATAGCTACCTTTGTTAGCGTCCAGTGCAGTGTACTCTACCCCGGCGTGTTTTTCACTTGAGGGACTGGGAGACTTCACGTGTTTCTTGTCCATGATGTAATAACAGGCAGGAATGAGAAGGGAGACGACTGCCATGATTACAATCGCGATCTGTGGTGACACACACGCCCATGTCGTCAAGGCTACAGATAGCAATGGAAAACCGGTTAGTAAAATCATACAGATTGCGCATAAGCACATATATACTGTATCGACTGATTCTAGTCCTAGCAGTACGAAGGACGTTTTTCACGTGAACCTAGTTTACGGCCTCAGCTCCATAGACACACAACCATGTTGTCAAAGCTACATAGAACAATGGAAAGTTTGTAAAAAACATGATCATTACGCATAAGCGCATATCGACTGATTCTAGTCTTAGCAGTATGCATGATGTTTGTCACATGAACCTAGTTTAGTAACCTTAGCTCCCACAACTCTCCAGGGCTCAGTGGTAGAGCATCTGTGGCCCGTTTCTCGAAAGAAACCAGATATAATTCTCGGTAATGAGTCCTGGTTATACCCAGATATTGAGAGCAGCGAAATCTTCCCAGATAACTATAACATCTATCGGAAAGACCGCATATCTGACAACCATGGTGGCGTTTTCCAAGCAGTGAAGAAAGACATTATCGTTACTCATCGCGATGATTTGAATACGGACTGTGAGATTATTTGGACCCAATGTCAGATCCAAAATAAGAGATCAAAATCTCTATTCTTCGCTTCCTTCTATCGCCCAAACAAGACCGATATAAGCAGTCTACATGAACTTGACTCATCTTTATTCAAATTAGGCGATAGATTAAATACTAGCAATGTAATCGTGGCGGGAGATTTCAACGCCCCGGACCTCAAATGGAACGACCTTGAATCAACAAATTGCTCCTTCAATTCTGAACAGCTACTTGAAATCATCGATGAACATGGACTTACCCAACTAGTAAAGGAACCTACTAGAGATGACAACATTCTCGATCTTGTGTTGACAAATAATGTCAATATCATCAACAATGTTAGGGTAATCCCGGGAATAAGCGATCACGATATGGTTCTTTTTGAAGTGAACTTGGCATGTAGAAAGAAAAAGCCAGTGAGACGCAAGATTTATATGAGGAAAAGGGCAGATACCACCCGTATAAAGAAAGAATTACAAGACTTTGCGAATGACTTTGAAGAGATGAAGAACGAATCCGTAGACGCAAAGTGGAATATATTTCAACAAAGGCTCACTGGAATTATGGACTCCTGTATACCACACAAGTTCACTACCTCACGCCATAACCTACCGTGGTTTAACCGTAGCTTGAGAAGACAGACAAGGAAAAAGCAAAGGCTATACAACAGGGCGAAGAAATCTGGAAGGCAATCCGATTGGAATAAATTTAAACTAGTCAGGAAACAATTACACAAGAACTTGAATGAGTCCAGGAACAATTATCTTTCTGACTTTCTCGGTGATTCTATAAAACAAAACCCGAAGGCTTTTTGGTCACACATCAAAAAACTAGGAAAAGAGGGTACAGATACCCAAGACCTCAACGTTGGAAATGAAGTGTTTACCGAACCGAGAGCTAAGGCCGAAGTGCTAAATAGTCAGTTCTCCAGTGTTTTCAACAACGAAGAATCAGAGAATATCCCAGACCCTGGTGAAAGCCCTATTCCGACTATTGGAACAATAAACATCACAACCTGTGGAGTTGAAAAGCAACTTAGCGAGTTGAAGGTAGATAAAGCGTATGGCCCGGATGGAATTCCACCCTGGTTTTTAAAGGAGAATGCCCATGAAATATCAAAGGTTCTTACTGATATATATCAAGATTGTATTGATACCGGAACTGTGCCTATCCAATGGAAACACGCCAACGTATGCGCTATTCACAAGAAAGGAAAGAAATCGGATCCTTCAAATTATAGGCCCGTGTCACTTACCTGCATCGCATCAAAGGTACTTGAGCATATTGTACACAGCCATGTTATGAAGCATCTTTCACGATATGGAGTGCTCACTGATTGTCAACATGGCTTTAGAGCGAAACGATCAACAGAAACACAGCTCATATGTACCATTCATGATATAGCAAGTGCTATCCAGTCTAACAAAACAATTCACGCCGCAATCCTTGATTTTTCAAAAGCATTCGACAAAGTTCCCCATCGCCGACTCTTGAAGAAACTTGATTATTACGGAATTCGTGGCCCACTACATAACTGGTTTGAATCGTTTCTAACACAGCGTACCCAATCAGTGGTAATTGAGGGGGCATCATCTGCCCCTGTAGTTACGACATCTGGTGTTCCCCAAGGAACAGTCTTAGGACCGCTACTGTTCTTAATGTATATAAATGATTTACCTGATAGTCTTAACTCTACTGTTAGACTTTTTGCTGATGATGCATTGTTATATGGGACAATTTGTTGTGATGAAGACACAGCCGATCTCCAAGAGGACTTGTATAGATTAGAAGATTGGCAACAAAAGTGGAAGATGGAATTTAATCCTTCAAAGTGCAAGATCATGTGTTTTACAACCAAGAGAGATCCACCAAAGCGGGAATACGTATTCTGTGGACAAATCCTAGAAGAAGTGGAATCTCACCCTTATCTGGGGGTAGTCCTCGATAACAAAATGAGGTGGTCACCACACATTGAAACAATCACATCTAGGGCAAATAAGGTCTTGGGACTTATCAAGCGAAACCTGTGGAATTGTCCAAAGTCAGTGAAAGAAACCGTGTATATGACACTTGTGAGGCCAAAACTCCAGTATGCCTGTAGCGCATGGGACCCACATTACCAGAAAGATAAAGCCGCTCTAGAAAGGGTACAGCGGAAAGCAGCCCGCTTTGTCACTGGAAATTACGATCGAACAACGAGCGTGACGGAAATGCTGCAAGACCTACAGTGGGACACACTTGAAACAATGAGAAGACACGCAAGGCTCTCCACTATATACAAGATGTGCCACGGCCTCCTAGATGGGGATTGGGGGGATTATTTGATAACAAGCAAAGAAAGGAGAACCCGTGGAAGCCATGATTTTAAATTTATTGTACCGAAAGGACATAAAGATATTTTTAGATTTTCTTTTTTTCCCAGGACAATAACTGAATGAAACAAACTTCCAGAAGAAACTGTTTCCAGCCAATCCCTCTGTATTTTTAAAAGCAAACTAATTTAGTTTTATTTTTTATCAGTAGTTTTTAATAGTTTTTAATAGTTTTGTATATTTTAGTATAGTTTTATTTATTATTATCTTAGAGTTGGCGTGATGTCCCAAACGATTTTGCCGACATAACGATATTTAGATTTAGATTTAGAAGTCGCGATAATTAACGGGCCCGTTAAGTTGTTGTTGTTTACATGCAAGATAGAGGTTTCAATAGTCCTGCATCTAACATGATGAAACAAAATGGAGCAGTTTGTGAGCCAGGGTCCGCGCTCTAATTCTTCATATTTCGATTTGAAATTTGATTTAGGGCCCGAAACGTTACCGGGACTTTCGAGAAACGGGCCCCTAGACCAGTAACCAGAAGGTCATTAGGTTCGGTTCGACTCCTGTTAGGAGTACTCGCATTTATTCTTCCGAGGGGCCTGTATGATTCCTGTATCAATAGACGTTTTTAGATCTAACCCCGCTTTACCGAAACATTTAGCTTTGGAAATTTTTGCACCCCCGCTGCTGTTAACAACCTCAATTTCCAATGAATTTAGCCTCCCACGCAGACGTACGAACGTGGGGCAGGAACGCGTGACGAACCCCTAAGAACGTCTGCGAGGGAGGCTACAATGAATGAGGATCGTCATTTTTCCGTTGGCCGCGACGACAACATCCTTGCACGATCCACGCTAAATCTGTATGGCCTGCACTCGGTCGACCCACATAGTCATCCTTTTTTCGCCGATTTCTTTTCTCCCACTGTCTTTTAAATGTTGAATATGAGACAATCGGGGCACAGAAACGAGAGTTTATGTCCAAGAAATGCTACTGCTGTCCGACACTCTCTCAGAGCCGGACGCCATATTGGATTTCTGTTTACCTATTTCAGACCACGTGACCAGGTAGCTAAAAACCTCTATTGACTGCCGGAAAGCTTTGTATACAAACGCTACATAAGACTATATGAGCAAAGCATTGAATTTGACTTTTAAGATGTGCCAGAAACTCTTAGTAACGCCATGAACGCTACAATGTGTACCTCACCTTAGGCTACTTCAAGTCATGACGACACGCACTCTAATAATATATATTAATTTCTAGATCCTACCTGTGTAGTAGAAAGGTGTTATCACATAACCTACTCCTGTTCCAGCGGAAAAGGCAGTCAAGGCGACTTCATGATAAAAAGAAGTTAAACCCAAAACTGTCATCTCACTCATGCTGTAGTCCACTGAAGCTATTCCTAAGCCTATTAATTTCCAATAAACTTGTTCGGCTAGAGCAAGAATTAGTAGACCACAGGGTAATGCCAAGCCAAGCGCGATAAACCGAGCAAAGTATGAAATTTTTTGCACGAAATAAGGTGCAATTAAAGTGAAAACAAAACTCGGCAATATACACGCAATTAGAACCATGGAAGATTGAATATATGTACCAGCTAAGATATCTTGAGCAGCAGTAATGAATAAGGAGAAACCATTGTAAATTAATGTTCCAAATGCGAAGAATGCCATCACCGTGCGCAAATTTTCGTGATCCTGTTGATCACTCTTGCCAGATTCTGACATTGTTTTTCTCTCACGGGCCTGGCTATGGGCTATATTTCAAACTTTGCAATAGTGGTGTACGTGTGCTTTCACTTTGAGCAGGGCTCAGAATCAGCTCAGTGTCTTTATACAGTTCTTGCTCATGTCACAGTATACTCTTCAAGTGCTGACCACTGATTGCGTCGGGCTTCTGGTTAACGATTCACTGACAATACTCTTGTGAAGGGTGGCTTGGGGTTTGCGATTCTTCTGATAAAATCGCTCAGGGGGCTGGAAGATGAAAATCACAAGTCACAAGGAAATTGATTGAGGTTTGTGGGTGAGGAGACTCTTCACCTTTTTGGCTGCTAGGCTGTCAGTGTGAATGTCTTGTTTCCCTGGAAAGAAAATCATTGGGGCGCAAAGTTATATGGAAATGAAGAGACCAGAAAACAAAAATAAAGCAATTAAGAAAAAGCATGACCCAGAACATAACCTGAAAACTTTGCATAAGAACAAAGGGCTGTTGATTGTGCGTGTAGGCAAATTGAAGAATTCAACTACAGTAAAAACCCGCGTATAAGAACCTAGGTTTTTCCAAGTTAGCCTAAACAGGTTCTTATATAAATGGTATTTAGTGTAAAATTAGGCTAACTAGGTTCTTAATTAGATTCTTAACTTTTGTTCAAGAAATAAAGCTGAATTTTTAAATGATCTGGTGTTTAATGTCCAAAAACAGTATTCTTGGAGGCTTCGTTAAGCAAAATACTATACTATTTTAATCTGATTCTGTTACAATCAAACCTATGGTAAAGTTTTATGTAACCATGCTATAGTGTTTAGAGTATTATTGCATACAGACTGTGTTATATATATATATATATATTTTTTTTTTTTTGAAAATAAGAACCTGTTTTAGGATTTTAGCCTAAAATGGTTCTTATGTGAGGGGTGCTTAAAAATGAAATTTTAGCCTAACAGGTTCTTATACGCGGGTTTTTACTGTATATATATATATATATATATATATATTTTTTTTTTTTTGAAAATAAGAACCTGTTTTAGCATTTTAGCCTAAAATGGTTCTTATGTGAAGGGTGCTTAAAAATGAAATTTTAGCCTAACAGGTTCTTAAATGTTAGGTTCTTATACGCGGGTTTTTACTGTAACACAAACGTTTGGTAGAAACCCTTTCTCAACAATACACAACTAGACCATACAAATATCTGACGTTTGACAACAAAGTGAGCATTTAACGTGGGATGCTTTTTTTTACAATATCCGACGACACGATGTTGCTTTAAAGAAGTAATCTTCATTCAATTTACAGGCTATTATACGAAATTCTTAGAAGGAAAAAACAATGACCGATCCGCTAGGGATCGCTTTTTTCATGCATGTCCAGTTATAAACATAATTCTTAACACTCTCTTTTCAAGTTATTAAAATGCATCTCTGTACACGAAAAGATCGTAAATAATACCGCCGAGTAGGTTAATCTCTGAAACTTTGACCCGGTATCACCGAAGTATCTAGTAAGACTTCTTAAAAGAAATCGAAATTTAACGAAGAATGTATGACACCCAGTGTTGTTGCTATTTCGCTAGATATTTCTGACAGTGAGCTAACAAGGGACAAATTTCTCGAGTTGACCAGCTCTTTCAACATTTAAAATTAGGGAGCTTAAGCAACGACGACAGCGACGACAAGGAGAATGGCAAAAAAGTAGGTTTAGATTGGCAAAACAACAGCTTTGCATTTTTGTACATTTCTTTGTCATCGTTGCACACAACGCATCGTTGCACACAACGCATCGTTGCACACAACGCATCGTTGCACACAACGCATCGTTGCACACAACGCATCGTTGCACACAACGTGAAACTCCTATTTTCACGTATTGTGGAGGACGTGAACACAAAACGACAATTTCTTTTTCTTTTCCTAAACTTCGATACAGTCCTTCAGTATTCAATTCTAGAAAATTCGCCATTATTTGTCGAATTGAACGAGATGAAATTAAAGCGATAAAGTTTATAAACGTGCGAAATCTTTTTTTTGAGACGTTTTTGTAGCCTTTGTTGTCGTTGTTGCTTTGACGGCAACGTCATATAAGGTAAAAAAGCAATAGTTTTAGTTAGCAAAACAACAACTCTGCACGTGCATCGCGTTTTTTTGTACATTTCTTTGCCGTCCCTGCACAACCACGACGTGAAATGACTTAATTTTAAGTTTTTTTGAGGACGGAAACGGCAAGTCGATAAATTCTACCACCTCTGTCTAAACTCGCGGGCGCGGCCCCCTCTCTTCAGTTCCAACCTAACTTCCCTTAGCTTTTTTAAGTAACAGGATGACTTGGGAAAATCGCGAAATGGTTTGAAGGGATGCGGAGTCTATTTTTCAGTGACATTTTCATGGACGAAGCCGTTGTCGGGACGTAAGGTCCCTGTTAGGCTGATTTAGCAACAGGACGTGAACGTCACAGTTGACGACTGGAAAGCGCGCGGAAAGGACTAAACACGACTTCCGGTGCCCAATTTGCTCTCTGCCATTGGTCAAGCCAGTTGTTTGATTTGCGCGCGCCGTCGTCAACCGACGTTCCCGTTCTAAATCAGCCTAATTTGGGACCTTACGATCCGACAACGGCGACGTCCATGAAAACGTCGATGAAAAACAGACTTCGCATCAGTTTAAACTTTTTCGCGATTATCCCAATTCGCCTTGTTTTAAATTTAGCAACAGGACGTGAACGTCACAGTTGACGACTGGAAAGCGCGCGGAAAGGACTAAACACGACTTCCGGTGCCCAATTTGCTCTCTGCCATTGGTCAAGCCAGTTGTTTGATTTGCGCGCGCCGTCGTCAACCGACGTTCCCGTTCTAAATCAGCCTAATTTGGGACCTTACGATCCGACAACGGCGACGTCCATGAAAACGTCGATGAAAAACAGACTTCGCATCAGTTTAAACTTTTTCGCGATTATCCCAATTCGCCTTGTTTTAAATTTAGCAACAGGACGTGAACGTCACAGTTGACGACTGGAAAGCGCGCGGAAAGGACTAAACACGACTTCCGGTGCCCAATTTGCTCTCTGCCATTGGTCAAGCCAGTTGTTTGATTTGCGCGCGCCGTCGTCAACCGACGTTCCCGTTCTAAATCAGCCTAATTTGGGACCTTACGATCCGACAACGGCGACGTCCATGAAAACGTCGATGAAAAACAGACTTCGCATCAGTTTAAACTTTTTCGCGATTATCCCAATTCGCCTTGTTTTAAAAGAGAGGAATTTTGGCTGGAGCTGAAGAGAGGGGTACGCGCTCAAGTTCGGACATACATGGTAGAATTTATCGCCTTGCCGTTCCCGTTCCCAAGTAAACTTAAAATTTGGTCATTTCACAGTCGTAGTTGCGTAGTGAAGGCAAAGAAATGTACAAAAAAGCGTGATGTACGTGCAGAGTTGTTGTTTTGCTCATGAAACCTATTGTTTCTTGACGTTCCCGTTGCCGTCGTCGTCGTGGTTTCGTAAGGTCCCTAATCCGACAATGGCGACGTCCATGAAAACGTCGCTGAAAAATAGACTTCGCATCCTTTGAAACTACTTCACGATTATCCCAAGTCGCCCTTTTACTTAAAAGGAGTGAATTTAGGTTGGAAGTGAATAGAGGGGACCGCGCCCGAGTTCAGTCAGAGATGGTAGAATTCATCGCCTTGTCGTTCCCGTTCTCAAGTAAACTTAAAGTTTGGCCATTTCACGTGGTAGTTGTACAGGGACGGCAAAGAAATTGACAAAAAAGCGTGATGCACGTGCAAAGTTGTTGATCATTAAACCTATTGCTTTTTTTAGGTTCCCGTCAGCCGTCGCCGTCGTAGTTTCGTAAGGTCCCTATTATACATACCGCGACGCCTTCTATACATTGGTTAACTCGTATTTGCTAATGAAAACTATGAAGAGATGACGACAGTCCTAACGGTGTGATTTTCTGATAAGGGGAGGAGGTGGATCGTAAGCACAGGATGATAAGCAGTTCAATTAAGCGAAAATAAGGTATAGAGTGTCTCAAGTATTTTGGCAACTGGTTGTAGTTTTGTTCTAATGCATCGTTTTCCCAATTATGGAAACAGTAGGGCCATTTATACGACGAAAAATCGGACGCGTTTTTCATTAGACGCGTCCTTAAATAAGACGCAAACTATCTCGTATAAAGGGCGCATTAAGACGCGACTTAGCTAAGACGCGTCTTACCGAAGAACAGGTTTTAGGGGTCGTTCTTAGATAAGACGCGTCTTAGCTAAATTTTAAACGAAATGTGCCACGTTTATACGGAATAGTTTGCCTCTTATTTAGAACACGTCTTATGTAAGACGGGTATTATTTTTCCTCGTATATACGGCCCTAATGACAGCTCGCGCGTAGTAGAGAAATTCTATTTTAGATTGTGACGTAAGTCAAGTAGAAGTGGCATATGAAAGTGTTGATAACCTATATCCCTCACTCTGAGGAACATTTTCAGTTATTTTGTATAGACTAATTATCACTAAAGTGTGCTTTCTGCAAAAGCACGCCTTAAAAGGACAGCAGGACTTCGTGACTTCGATGTTCTATTATCCAGGCCGTTTCACTGAATTGTTTTCCTAGGAAGAGGAATACGGCGAAAAGGCTGGCTATTTTATAACGTTGAGTATTATCTGTAATTTATTGTGTTTTTGTGGAAACAGTCAGCAAGTGTGTTACTTACATTTCATTTATTATGGCGCCAGTCACGACATGAAACGAAGTCTTGAAAGTTGAAGTTGAAGCCGTCCGTTAGTTGACTTTCTGGACTTCGTCCATCCAGTTGCTGTCAAAACTTCCTGCTATCAATCATTCATTCGTTGATATATCACTCTTTTTTTGGATAACCTTTTGAGACATTCTCAGACCAAACTTGCTTCAAAAACCAGAGATTACAAACAGGAAAAATAGACGATTCGAAGGTAACCTGAAACGGGTATCGACAGAGGAGACTTAAGTTTATACGAAGAAAAGTTTTCCCGGGAAGGACGGGAAAGACTTAAGCAAACGTTCATGATAATGAAAAAGATCCCTTTGCCCAAACCAACAGCCTTCACGCATGCTCTGATTGTCTCGCCCTGACAGAGTTGACCTGCCTGGGCAAGCCATGATGTTTATATGGAGAAAAGTTGGCGCGGCTAGGAGCCGGGTGAACCGGCTAGGCTTGTAACCCGTTCAGCAGAGCCAACTTCTTGTTTTTCATGTAAACGGTTCACCACGTTTTATAAGGAAACGTATAACAAGTTTGCTTGCCCAGGCTATCTCGAGTAAGCTACTGAACCTTCTACCCTGGACAACTTTTCTCTCTATAAACGGGACCTTAAGTTCTTTCTCCCCGGTAAGCATAGTATGGCAATGAATAAATCAATGTGGTTGTGCTAGGAATAACTATCAGTCCTCAATGATTCAGGGAAAGTGAAAAAAAAAAACCAAACCCCACGCAATCGAAGCCCTTTGTTTAGTCTCCCAAATCAGTTTTAAAACAGGTGGATTTTACATTTGACTGTCTGACAAACAGGTACTCGTTGTTTTACCCTTTAAACCGGCATATATTCTGCTCCAGAATTTACAAAAAGGCCTTGAAATTGATAGCATCGAGACCTTTATTTTTTGTATGTAATTACTGAAATATGGATGTGCTGCAAATAGTACTTTCTCACCGAAGAGTGAATCAAAGCGAAAAAAACTACCTATTAGTCAGTGATTGGCTAAAACTGATATCGAAGAAATAGTTTATCTGAGAGCATCTACAACTCGGGGATAAACATTGGTTAGTTTTTGTTAAATTTGTTGCTTTTTTAGATAACTCTACTGCTTTTAGGCATAAATGAATTGTAAATAAGTGTGTTTCTGAAATATCGTATGTAAATAGTGAAAATTTTTTGTTTGATTTGCTAAAATTTACATATCTCTTTGTCTTACTATAGATCGCCTTGAACGTTTCAAAATTGTGCGAGAGGAATGAGTTGGAAAAATACGTTCAGGACTACCTAATACATCCTTACCGATGATCTAAATGATCTAAGCTTGGGTGAAAAAAAAAGGGTTGCAACGCGTTTTTAAAGAGGAATCTCTGTTGAAGTTTCTTCGCTAAGGATTAAACGCCCACAGATGGCAGATGGATCAAAAGAACACAACGAGGAAACGACAGAAATGGCTGATCTATTCCCGGAAGAAACAGAAAACAACCGAGAGAAAGAAAAGCCAATAACGATCGTTTCTTTTTTCGTTTTTGGCTTCCTGATTTATGCGATTTATTCGCTGATCATATCGGGCGCTCAAGATATTCTAGCTGGCACGGTTGTTCCCACATCCGCTGTATTAGTCGCGAATGTTGGCCCATATTTCGTCGTAACATCTGTAGCACCGTACTTCATCCAAAAAGTCTCTTATTTTCCTCGTATATTGGCAATTTTTTGTCTAGAGGTCACCGGACTAATCATGGTTGTTGCTTCCAAGCAAGTTGGCGCGAGATTATTCGGAATATCCCTGTCTTCATTTGGTTTTGGCTTGGGAGAGTTATCGTTTATTGCCATGACTTCCTTCTATCATGACGCCGCTGTCAGCGCCTTTTCGGCTGGTACCGGGGCTGGTATTTCTTTAGCGCCATTGTATTACACAGGTATCTTATTTCATGAAACTTTGTAATTTAATTTCAAATGTTTTTGTCATTCGTATCGCATTTGCATCTAGCCTTTTACAAAATCGGCGTCCCCTCGTCAGGGATTCGTGAACCAGTATGTTCAAGTTTCATGACCTTAGTACGGCTGATTGAAATAGCGTTTCGATTCCCAAAGAAGTTAATTTTTTGCTTTTATATTTGGATTTCAGTGGCTACCTCTTTGCTTTGCAATTTTTTTGTTTCCATTGCTGAAAGCAATTTGAGTATCTGCAAAGTGAGGTTTTGTCGTGTCGAACATCATTACTTAGCTAAATAGACAAAGAAAGTAAAATTAATTTTCAAGACACAGCTGCCTGCAACTCAAGCTAATGATATTCATGAAATGGGAATATTGGGCCAATTTCACGATAGTTAATTAAAGTAAATTTCACATTTTTCTTTCGTAAAATTCGCTATCTCCCTTATTCTATGACCACAGAGAAATATTTTGATGGTAAATTATCGGGGGAAGATGTTTTAAAAGCACTGAAAGTCTCTGCATTTTAGGTTAAATTCTAAGCCAAGAGAACCGGGACTGGCAACCATTCGTGACGCCAGTCTTGTGTTTGGCTTTAATTTGCGTTTAAGGAGCATCTTTTTCTAGCTAAAATGCTGAAAAGTGCATAACCTGGAATTTTCTTTAACTGTTATAAGTTTTTGGCCGTCCGTAAAAAGAACTTAAGTTTGACTAATCGATTCCTTTTTAATTCACAGCCATGACAACTTGGGCATGTCTGTCTCCATCTCTTACTATCTCAATCATGGCGGCCAGTTTGATTTTCTTGCTGATTTTCTATGGCTTAATGGAGAGAAAACACTCACAATGCGAACAAAAGACCACAACAGGAATTACGCGGAAGGAAATTCAATATTCACCTATAGACGAGCAGACCATAGAACGTAAAGATAATCATTTGACATGGGACGACAAATTATTGGCTATAAAAGGAGTTTGCCCGATCATTGCTTCTATAATCAGTGCATGGATCGCAGAATACTTGATCATCCAATCCGTGATCACGACTATAGCGTTTCCTAGTGCACCATTTCCACCCCGAGATCACTACCAGTATTATATATTCGTTTTTCTTTTCGGTGAACTGTTCGGTAGATCTTATCTGATAGTGGCATCGTATTTGACGCCAAGCGTTGCTCCGAAGCTTATTTTCCGGAGAATATGGTTCCTTGCCGCGGCTGAAATTTCTATTTTAGTTTTCTTTTTATGCGCGGCATGGTTCCGCTTTTTGACTGATGTTTCAATAGTTTTAATTCTTGCCTTCATTGGTGGCATAATAATTGGTGTCATGTATGTCAACATGTTGGCAATTTACTCCGAAATTGAGGATCCTACTTCCAGAGAGTTTGTGTTAGGTTATGCATCTGCTGCGACTGGCGCTGGGGCGGTTACTGCTGGCTTATTAGGATTGCTGGTCGAGCCTTGGCTGCGCCGTCATTGTTTGAGTGTGGTAACCAATAGCAACTTCTGTTTCACTCGATCCCAGGGTGGACGAGTTTGTAGATGAATTAGTCAGTAACTATAAACAAGGACAAAAGGAGGTCTGTAATTTGTACAGGTCTTGACTCTTGCAGTGTAACTAAAATAAGGAATTTGTTGTATATACAATAAACTATCATAATTAATGGTTAGATATATCGATTCCCCTAGAGGACAGTGGGCTTAAGGTGCGAGTGTTTTTGAAAGTGTGATTGATTGTGACTAACGGGTTAAATTTTCCATTCAGTTCCATTGTTCCTTCGTTCCACTCTCTTTACCGAAGTTATAACCAAAAAATCATTTTTAAAGTTGAAAATTAGACCCAGGCCGTAAATAAAGTACTTGTGTGTAAATATCGGATAAATAACCGGCGAACCCCACCTAAATAAGTTTCAACATATCGCCGGATTAACTTCGCCGGATGGCAATTAAATTAACTAAAGTTAAATAAATAAGGAAATTTATAGCAACGGCAACGACCATGTCGTCGAAAACTTCGCTAATAATCAATCTAAGTAGAATATTTTTAAAATACTTATAAGAGTTGAACTGAAAAATAAAAGGTGTGAAATGAAGGCTTACACGGGACAATACCTCGGGGTGAGGAAACAAATCCAAAGTGACTTAAGGTGGCTGAACACAGTTTGATTAGGTTGTGCATCGTTAACATTCATTAGGGCGTTATTTAAGACTCGTTGCATGTGTAAAGCTCAAATTTTTGCACGAAAAAATATGTTTATGAGACATGACATTTATAGCTTTAAAAGTGGGATTTGGATCGTTGTCATGGCTACATGGCTGTTTGAAAACAATCCTTTGCTTGTCTGTAGAAATTCCCATGATTCATATCGGTCCTTGTACATGGACCCTTCTTGTTTTGTCCGAACTGGTGGACAACCGCCACCTGCTCCAACTGTCATTGTTATTATTTTCTTCGACGAAAATGTCAATTATCATCGGAAGACTAAAAAATATAAGGTAATTCGTCAATTGCATTCAGATGTGTCAGTTTGCTTGGAAATCATTGGAATTAAAACCAACACATTTGACCCGTGGATCATATCAAAGGAGGCACCATTTCTCATCTTGGATTTGCGGATTAAGAATCTTCTCTCGTGAAGAGTTGGCATAAGTGAGCCCTTGTTTTATTAGTAAGTCTTTCTTGTGGCCACCAGGATGTATAACGTAAGCGATCGGAATGTGATTCTGGACAATCAAAATCAGTTTACTAAAAATTTGCTGCCATGACGTGAGCCGAGCTTTTTACCTTAAGAAATATTGCCTTTTTTAGTGAAATATACGTGGAATTTGGCTACGATTTTGAACATTATTTAAGTTTATAGATTCGAATCATCGATCAAAGGAAAGGAGAGCAATTATATTAATATCTTGGTGTAAATCTACGACAGACGGCAGGTCAAAATGGAGAACTCTTCAAACAAATTCGAAGGAACGGAAGATAAGCAAAACGACAAAGAAATACTAAGCCACGAAGAACAGGAAAGTAAGGGTAATGGAACTCAACAACCGAAAAAGGAACGAGTGAAGAACCTCTTATCTTTTTATGCATTCGGAGCGCTCATTTATACGGTTTATTCGGTAATAATTTCAGGAGCGCAGGACATATTGGCTGGAACTTTTATTCCTACCGCTGCCGTTTTGGTGACAAACGTTGGTCCTTACTTTCTAGTGACGATGATTGCGCCCTATTTTATACACAAAGTGCCTTATGTTGTGCGAATAGTGGCAGTTTATGTATTTTTTACAGCAGGTCTGTTTATAATTGTCTACGCCAAGGAGGTCTACCTTAAGCTAGTGGGAATCTGTACAACATCATTAGGAGCCGGAATTGGGGAAGTGTCGTTTTTTACCCTTACGGCTTATTACGAGAAAGTAACGGTTGCCGCATATTCGGCTGGTACTGGCTCAGGATTTATACTGGGACCTTTGTATTACACAGGTAAGGCACTAATGTGATATTTTTTTTACCCTTTTAACCATAATTTCTCCAGTTTTGGTCGCAAGGCAAACGATATTTTTCCCTCACCCGTGTGGGCAGAGTCCACCATTTGCAACGAGGGCTGCCATTGGCTTTAAGAAACCATAGGCAAAGGATCCAAACTACACCCCTAATCTCAAGGTGGTGCCCCAGAGGGCTGAGGGCGGTGCAGGTTGTACCGAAAAATAATAAAAATAGAGATGTATAACAACTACGAGTATACCAAACGTTAACCACAGCCAGCAATCTTGGAGCACATTTGCATTTTCCAGTCAGGCCAATTCAACAAAGCGGATTGCTGTCTCTTGTATAACTTCTTAACGGAAGTTTTGCGGGGTAAAGAAGTGGCATTGTGGGCAATTCAAGCAGCAGCAGCATTTCTTAAAGTCCGTTTTTGGAGTACTGTCATTCATCGTCTTGACTTGTGAGCTAGACAGGGGTGGGGGCGGAGGGGTTCTAAGGACGCTTGCCAAATGTCAGAAAGAACTGGTGACCAAGCCAGTAGTGCATAGAAATAAGCTAATTTGACTGGGAAGTTCTGCCAGTAATAATAGTAGAATTATCTTTACGAATGGACTAGTCCTGACAAGAGATAACGCACTTGAACAATAAGCGCACAAAGACAGCCTACGTCGTGTAATTAAATGCACAAGTCCTAGATGTCTATCGAAAAGCGAGTAGGATATTTATTGCATCATTTTAAACCTTTTAACATTATTCGTCTGCACTGGTTAATTTAGGTTAAGTTTTTCCGATGAATAACCTGTACTGTGAGTCGGGGTGAATTGACTCAGTTTGCTGGTATAGATAGAGTACGCGGAAAATTGGCATTAGGTCCTAGTAGTCCCGAACGCAACCCTCTACTGAAGAGACCGTCTTCCTCTTATTTTTCCACAGGTCTAACAACATGGAGCTGCGTGTCACCAAATAATACTATGATGATTATAGCTGGATCTCCTCTTCTTTACCTCATATGTTATGCCATTATGGACAAAAAACATTCTCCAAAGACTGCGGAATTAGATTCCCAGTCTGACGAGACTAAAGACAAAACAGATTTAAAATGGAAAGAAAGAATTTCGGCCGTTGGACAGACGCTTCCGTTAGTAATATCTCTGTTTATCTGCTACATTTCCGAGTATGTGATAATTCAAGCCGTGATTACAACAATGGCTTTTCCAAGCGCTCCATTCCCCCCGCGTGTTCACTACAGATATTATATTTTCATATTCCTGAGTGGTGAGTTTATCGCTAGGTCGTATCTGGCTGTCATTGCGTCGGTCAAGCCAAGCCTTGTCAATGTCTTCGCTATTCGGAAAATATGGGTTTTGTCTTTGCTCCTGTTTGGTCAACTAGTATTTTTCTTTTTAGCCGCATGGTACAGATTCTTACATGACGTCTGGATCGTTTTCATTTTAATCTTTGCCGCTGGGCTAGAAGCAGGCGCGGCCTTCACTAATGCGTTCGTGGTGGTTTCGGAGACTGATGCTCGCATCAAAGAATTTGCGATGGGTTTTGCGACCATCGGAATGGGGGGTGGGACATTCTTTGCAGGAGTGGTGGGACTTCTCATAGAGCCACTAATTCGGGATCACTGTCTGGTGGTATCTGAAGTCGGTGATTATTGCTTCACAAGACCGTTTGGTCGTTGGAATCAAACAATGACTTGCTGAATTCGAAGAAAAGAGAAAGGCGCATAATTTCAAATTGTACTTCAATCAGAATGAAGCCTCAGTACGAGTATATAAGTCGTGAAATGGTCCTTCCAAGTTTAAATAGGCCTCAAAAGTTTAGGCCTATCACCAGCAACGGCGATTATGGACTAACTGAGAAAGGTTTTAATCCAGTGAACAAGAAGGAAAGACTTTCCCTCCACCCTTCAACAGATATTGCTGAGGAGAGCTGTAAGTTTTCTCAGCTATGAACCTCAGCCGTGTAGATGCCACTTATCATTGAACAAACTTGAGATGGTCGCTGAGAAATAATGGGAAAGATTCTGTAGATGACAAACTTGTACTCTAGGTTCAGAGATAGTAATCATTTGAGTCCGGCATGGTATGCAGTACAAGGCGCGGATTTGTTTTTTTTAAAAGAGTTTAATTTCTTCAAAATTGGGGCTGTATGTCTTAAAGTCTGTTGGACATCGCTTTTGGGTGTTCACATTCAGTAGATAGGCAGAGCATGAGTAGTCTCTTATTTTTCTTCAAACTTAGTGGGGTGGCGCGCAGCACCACATGGAGCGGTTTAGTCCTCGTCTAACTCGTCTTGCGGGTTCGCTCCTCTTTGCTCACTTGGTACGCCCGGTGCTTTAATGACTGCATTTAGTCTAACAGAAATATGACAATATCACCTACATGAAGATCAAAAGATAACCTGTGAATATTTTGCAATTATTAGATGAGGTAGAGTATGATCTGCAGAGTAAGTCTGAGATTAAGGACGGAAGGGGTCTGCATAATTTTCCATATCATTCAAAAGCCTAATCCAATAATTGTTTTATTACTCATTCAATAAATAATAATAATAATAATAATAATAATGATAATGATAATAACAATAACAATAATAACAATAATGGTAGGTAACAATGATCTTCAAGAAGTTAAAAATACATATATTTTGTCACAAGAAGATCTAGAGTTAGAATTTTTACATCTTAACGGCGTTCCACTGTTCACTCAGTATATATCCATATTTACAAGGCTAATTCGTTTGTTTATCGTTTGTTTACTTTGCTGTGATAAGTCATATTGTTATGTCAATATGTTATGTCAAATGTGTTTTCGTCGAATAAAAACAACTAATTCAGCAAATCGTGTAATTGTAAGAATCACTAGTAAATAAGTGTTTCCTCTGACGCCCTCGAAAACGAAACCATATCGATCATAGTTCCCTCATTGACGTAATGGGAAGATAACAAAATATTTTGAGGATGAGAACACTCCATTTGACATTTTTGTTTTCGTCACCCTTAACAGGCTTCCTGTATGAAAACAAATTAGTGTCTAGAGCTTTTGGATTCACAAGGAAAATATATTCTATAAAAAATTGCCTTTGCTTTCTAATTCGAAACTGCTCTCCTTACAGTGACCAGAGAGGATAACACGGGTGCGCGCTTTCCGCTTGTCCAGGAGTCTGGGATTTTAACCAGTGACAACCCCCTCCCCTCCCAAGAAACGTTTATTTCATCACATAGCTAGTTCCAGGCTCTCAGATAGTAGAGATGACGCGTAAGTGATAGCCGGCACGCGAAAATATGAGCGCGTGATCTGGGTAAATCTATTTTCGTGTTTGCTTTCTCAATTTCGCGGACCCAGTTATATCGGGGCCTGGAACAAACTATTTATCACATCGCTTACGATTGTACCAACTGTGAATTTTCATTCCCTGGCAAGCAAACATATCCTTAGTTTTGAAACAGTGTCTGCCCCTAAAACTCGGCCAAACGACCGTTTGAAAACAGTAGTTACCAAACATACATTCAATAGTCTACAACTTCTTTAGAGCTTATGTGTAAGGCTGCGACGATTTGTGTTTGAATAAAATATTTTGCACCAGTTCCTCAATTTAATTATAGGAGTCAATAAACCAATATCCAATTGCGTTTGGACAGCTTTGTTAATCAGTACGAGCTCTAATAACTTGTCGTGAATTTGCTCAATAGATTTGTCACTTGGCCAAAAAGAGATCTTATTAAAGATTAATAAACTGGATTAATTCTCTCAAATGAAGTTGGTCCATTTAATTAACGAATAACCGTACTAGCGTTGCTAATTTTATCATGTTATTACATTGTATTAATTTTGATAAGAGCCAGGTTTCTACTCAAAACTCAGTTTTGGATCTATCACAATGCATTACAGTACTCTATTGAACTCGTAGAAATGTCATTTTATGTACGTGGGTTTTTTATAATTGCATGTCGCTCCCATGACAACCAATGGCAAGATACTTGAATAGGAGTTATGTCTTTTGTTCTTGTGTTTACTTCAAGGAAAGAAAGCCAGTTAAAAAGTAAGAGACTAATTATAAACGAAGAACTATTCAATAGCTTTTTAACATATGAAAAGAACAGATGATAATTATTTAACTAGAGTACAGTTAATTAAAGAGAACGACTTATGAGTAAACGTTAGCACAAACTTAGGAGTGTTGTTCGATTCTTCAAGTGTTTTAGTGCTAATCGCTCACCCAAAACTGCTGAACACAGTACTTCTCTGGATTAAGATTACCAAACATGTAGTTGAGTTCATTGTTCTGTAAAAGCAACAAGAGATAAGTTAGAAGGTTTGCTTGAAACATCAAGGACTGTCTGGGTTTCGATTCACAGTCTGTGCATTGACTGAAGGACATAGTTCAGGGTGAAAGTTGTTAGGTAAGTGTGCTTACTAAAAAAAAAACTGTTTATATTTGCCTATTGATTATCGACAAGTGTCCTTTCTTACAGTAAAATGAACTGATAAAATCTGAAGTAACTAATGAATCATGTATTTAACAAAAAAGTTAAAGATACTTGTAAATAACGTAAACAATTCGAATTCATAGATTTGTTAACGTAAACAAAGGCTCGCACTTACAGATAACGTGATATGAGAGTAAAATCGACTCTTTCAGTTGTCTTTGAAAAATGTTTTTCAAAGCCGGACTGAAAGAAATATAAGGTAACCTAAATCAACTACTAAAGGCTTTAAATGTGTTTGGAAGGGAACGCTGGCAACATTTTCAAAGGTCTTGTACAGTCCACTCTTTATCTGCCAGGCTAACAGAACGACCTTTTTTTTCTACCTAACTTGAGAATTTCGCTGACAAGAATCGGCCTAAAATAGACCCGATTTCAAAAAACCTATTGCAGTTCAACAGATTCTTGGAAACTTGCCGTCAGACTGTAGTGGGCATTGAAAACATTGTAAATTTAAAGATTCGCTTTATCTTGGAGGGTGAGAGGCTGCTTCAGGGAGTAAATTACAGTAAACCATAAGTTAGAGTCTAATTTGGTTATTAGGGCCAATATTGAACATATAATGTCTATCTAGGGATGATTTGGAGCCATAAGGGCCAAAAGGAAACCCAGATTAGAAGCTGTTTTATAGCTAGGGCTGTTCCAATTGTGCTCAAATGGCCCCATGAGTAACTTCAATCTACACGGCTGACCTGGCTTTTAGGCCGGAATAACAGAACGTATCATTAATTAAAAGTGTGAGTAAGTACATGTTAACCCAAAAGTGCTTTTCTCACTTTTATTTTTCATACTCATTAATGTTAAGTAGTTACTTACTACTTACAAGTCTAAAACGAAAAAATAAGATAAAATTCTAAAGTACAAGGTGGTACTCTAGTATCGACTAATTATTAACACTGATTTTTAAGTATAATTAGTGTTAATAATTAGTCGATACTAGAGTACCGCCTTGTACTTTAGAATTTTAAGCTTTTATCGTTTTAGACTTGTAAGTAGTAAGTAGCTATATGATTTTAGCTGGTGTATATCGTATTTATTTTTTAATTCATTAGTTATCTTATTTAATTATTTAGACACGACCCCACAAGCGAAGCGTCGCTTTAAATACTTATCGTGTATAAATAAAGATTATTGATTGATTGATTGCATGTTTATATCCGACTTTCAGCATGGCGGAAGAAGATCAAGAAAGCCATTTTGATGATCCTGAGGAACAGGAACCCATGAAAGTATCTGTGACGTTTAAACCTCCAGAACCAGAGAATGATGACGCCAAGCTCGTAGAAACCTCTGAAAACCAGACTCCTGATACTACATCAACCCCAGAGGACCCCGGACAGGCTGATGACGCACGTGACTCTGACACGGAGGACATTCACCTACCCATAAACCCACCCGTTACACCCATTCTTTCTTGTGTGATCCCTGAAAAACTTAACAATGAATGCCTAAATACGGAACAACCCGACGTTCTTGAGGTAATTGTTGAATTCATTTGGTGTTCAATAGCCCGGGGAATACTCCCACAACATTTGGGTGAGGGCTACTGTGTAAGAAGAATTGTGAATCACTAGTGAATGTACGCAACAGGACAGAAGGGGAAAGAAGACGGCAAACCTTGTGTGACAAGCGTGACAATAATTTTGTTTGAAATAACTTTTCGCAAAAATTCACTTCCCTTTAAACAGATGTTTTTGTAGAAGATCTAGTTTGCGAGCAAGCTCTTCATTTGTGGGATATCGTGAAAAGTTGACGCGCAAGGGGCTAGTGAAGATCACGACAAAACACGCAAGCAATAGCCTAGTCACGTTCGTCACGCGCAAGCGTTTTGCCGTCCTCTTCACTTCCTCCTGCCGTCCTTTTGCGTAAACTCACTACTATATCAGACTAGACCGTTGCTGCGCGCATACTCTGAGTCATGCTCTCAGGCTCGTCTGAAATTTAAGAGGGCCTCCAAATTGTTTTCAAGAGATGAACAAAAGTAAATGATTTCGTCATGTAAAAACGATACTTCATTCCACACCAAACCGTTTCCCATTTCAGACCATTTCAGGAAAATTGTAAAATCTGCATCAAATTCCAGAGCGCAAAAGGGTTGAAAATTAGATGGTAATGCAAAGCATGGCATGAGGTCTATAAACGTTCAAGTTTCGTTGACTCATTCATATGACGGGGCCAAGTGAATTCTTTTTATGATTTGTCGCACTCAAAAATCTGTTGAGATTGCTCATTTCTTGCTTTCCTCTTCCAGGGCTGGAAAGGCTATAGCAACAACATTTACATTCAGCCAATCGTAGTGAATCACGCCACCAGTGACACGTGTCCTTATCCAGCCAATCAGAAGTCAAAGCGAAGACTTACTAGTCAAGACCTGAGAAAGCAAATGCGTCTTCGAGAGGCTAACACCTGGATTACTAAACACAACGAAAGACTTCGGAGCACAGGGAGTTTACGATCAAACGCTCATTTTAACATCAAGCACGATCTACAGCATGTAAACGAACTTTCAAAGCAGGCAAGATGTAACGACAAGGAAATGATAAAACCGAGAATTCCTGGGGGAACCCTTCACAAAGGATTTGTCTGCCGAACATGGGCTGCGAATTTCCTAGAAAATAGTGCCACTGAAGTCGAGGACGACGAGTTTATTCCATTTTTTGTGCGGAAATATGTGGACAACTCAAAATCTGTAAGTGCCGTGGTAAAGAACGTCATCACTAGAAAATCTACGGAAAAGAAGGAAAATTTACAACTTGCGTCTTTAAAACGCGACAATAAAGAGCTCACTGAATCAAATTCCAACGAAAGCGCGCGCAAGTTAGAAATCACTTTGGAAGAGAAGACATTTGATGACGAAAATAACAACACCAAAATAGAAGATTGTACAAGAGTATCGCCAGGCGATTTTAAGAGCCTTCAAAATATTTCTGGTCGGTTTGTTTGTGGTTGCAGTGGGACCCTGGCTCATGATATGGAAATTAAAAGACGTGCTAAAAGTACGTTGCCTACAAGAAAGTATCTTGTTCATGCAAGATCAAACAGTTTTAGAGAGACCCACTGTGTTGCCTTACCAATCAAACAGTTCCCACCCATAAACCCGCTGGAGGACATGAGGAAACCAAACTCTCAAGCGGGGATAAGGCGGGGAATTTTACCAGCTCGGAGACCACACACCGTAGACACTGCAATGGTCTTAAAAGAAGCGATCGTTGTGAATGGCCATTACAATTTGCCGAATTACAACAAGAAAAGTGATTTGCCAAGCAGAGAAGTTTATCACGAAAGAGACTCCGTATCACCCTCAGAACAATATAGCAAAGACAGAAAGTTGCATCCAGGGGTGAAGTTTGATAAAAACTGGTTCGGAAGTAAACACTTTGACGAAGGCCTCAAAATGCTGTGCCCGAGGTCGGAGGAAGGAAGGAGGGTCAACAAAACACTCGTTAAAAGCGCGACATCTCAGTGTGCTGTACATGACAGCAACAAGCGCATTCAAGAAAGGCGTGGTCGCTGTCGTTCCTTGAGCGTTCCTCCGGGAAATAACAAGCAGTCGAGAATGTCGGTTAAAGAAAATCAAAACGTCATGTATGGAAACAGGCTCCCATTAAAAACTCCACTGTATTCACCTAACGGTGAAGATAACGATTCAGGCACTGACTCAAATGATACTGGCCTGGGCAGTGAAATTGAATATGCATTTGATGGTTCAGCGAAACTTGATATCTACCTTCAACCCAGGGGTACAAGTTTTCGTTAAGATGGTGCCTTGGGTGTGACGTTGTGTAAATAAACTGGAACAATCTTAGGGCCAGTTTACATGGAGGTGGGGTACCCCAGTTAGGTAGGGTAACCCGCTTAGGTGGGGTAACCCGCCTGTACATATGATCACGTTTACATGATTTGTGGGGTGACTCGCCAAATATTACCTCACCTACCTGGGGTCCCCCACCTCCATGTAAACAGGCCCTTAGTACCCAGCATGACATTTTAAAAGCCTTAATGGTTTTCAAATCCCGCATTCGTCTTGCTTCGATCTGAGTATTTACGTTCCAAATTTACTTGTCGATCTGATACAACTCCGTACACTATTCAGTTTCATGTGACCTCGAAGAGACCAACGGAAACAAGCTTAAAAAAACTATAGCTATATGTAACAATTACATGTAGGACTAGAAAACGAGTCAGTAGGGTTAGAACTTGACAACTAGCGCTGCACAATTTTAACCAATGACTTCAGTCGATACCTCTGCAACAAATTTAGACGAACGATGAAGCAAGCGTTTATACTTCGGAAAAGACGAGTAGACCTCTTTCATAAGTTAATCTTTCATATCTATATAAATGAGCCTTTCTGGTCTCGTTTGAAAGTAAGAATTCTTTTGTATTTTACACATACTAATGAAGTCAGGCTAAATATCATACGTAAAAAAGAATATATTAATAGGCCGAGAGGTCTATAACAGCGAGTGTCACTCTTTGTTAGCTTCGCTGTCCCAAATTGGGCATTCATTCAAACTGTAATTCGCTGTAGACAAAGTCTCTATCAACGACGAAATCTTCAGCAGCAAGATTTCTTCTAGCATAGCTGAGCTCACAGTGACGTGACGGCGAGTGAAAATTGAACGAGTAGCACGAACTGTGTGATATGCAGAAGAGGGCGCACTCGAAGTCATCGTAAGCACTTCGTGACGCCAGAGTGTGACTCTTGAGTGAGCGATGAGTAACCACCGGGTGGACAAACGCATTGGAAGTCCTGCCAACTAAAAAAATGAAGAAAATGAAGAAAATGAAAATAAAAAACTAAATGAGTATTACATAATTAAATAACTAAATACAAATAAGATTGAATCGCACACATGTCAAAAGTGTTTCAACTAATGTGATCTATACTTAATACTAACGCCTTTTATACAAAGTAGGTAGGCGGTAAACCTTCTGTTTTCCGATCGATTATAAAAGTTTTATGACCCTTTCTTCTGCTCGATAGTATGACGTCACATTATGGCGATCCAAAAACCTCACTCTCGCGATCAAGAGGAACATTCCCTCCTGCGTACATAGGCTGTTGCTTACCTGAGCACAGAGCTAGTGCAATCCTTAATCCGTTATCTGTTGGCAACATTTGTCTGAAAGACGAGTAATGAAAGACGTGATTGGGCTCAGACGCCAAGGCGTTTATTTCGGCTGAGTTCACATTGGAACCTAATCCCAATGCAAATATGACAATCCCTTTTTTCTTTAGCAGCTGAGATTCTTCCTTTGACGCTGCGTGTCCATCTGTGTGTGATAAAAAATCATATGGTAAGCACATCTCAAGACTAAATCAGGAATGGAGCACCCTGTTTATTGAATATTTGACAATAAGGATTTTGGTATGGACTGTTACCTCCGCAGACCATTCCTTTCGCATATGCTATTTAATAGGCCATTTTCGAACTGCCTCAAGCCTCTGTTTCAAAGCGAGGCTAAGTGCGAAGCTATCGATGTGAAAATGATTGTTTTATATTATTTCTTTATTTCACGTCCATTGCATGAAAGCTTTTAAAGTTGTCTAACGTATACGAAAAATTGATTGAATATTGCGGGGATGTCAAAGATTTGGATAAATCTGTGCTCTAAGGAAATGCAGATAAGGGCTAAAATTCGGTTCTGTTCTTAACAACACACAAATAACAACTAACAACATTTCTGGTCTATTGTCCCGTAGTAGGCCGCTACGCTTTATTGAAGACCAACTGAGCCTAAAAAGCAGAATTGTGAAGAATACATCACAGCTAGATTACATCAAGGAAAATTAACGGAGTGTTGGATACGATGATCTACGAGAGACACTCGGAGGCCAGGACAAACCCCTACAGTTTCATATTCACAGGTTGGTAAGTCATCGTATCGTGTTTGAATGTCGATAAAGTGCCGGCATAAATTTCACAGTGATTCTGTTAAAACCATAAAGGAATGTTAAATTAAGAACAAATTAAAAAATTCGTGCATGGACTTACCAGTGCTTTTTCCATCAGTAATTACTAACAGGACTTGAGGTACATTTGATCTCATTCCACCGCCAGCAGTAAACAACTCCTTACGACACTCCTGGAGTCCCAGATCAATCCGAGTGCTGCCAGTGTAATATGTGATTTTCAGAATCAATGCCTTTATTGCTTTCACGTTTTGTTCAGCTGAAAAAAGAATTTCTGTTTTTGCGCTAGAACTAAAACTGACCACGCCCACGTGAGTACCTGTAAATATAATCAGTGAACAGGTAGAAACTGAGTTTTCTTGACCGTAACCCCTTTTAAAATACTCTCTATGCAAATGCCGTATTAAGGAGAGACTTAGGAATAGAGAACAAACTGATGATCGTAAAGACTTTTCAAGCACTACTTTCTTACCCGCGCTGGACACTTGGAAATATTCAATGAGCTTGATAATAAACGCTTTCACTTGCTCGTAATTAACTGATCCAATACTACCAGAGGCATCCAACAAGAAAGCCAAATCCATTGCAAAAGGACAAACTAAAAGAAATAAAAAATGCATTTATATCCGTAATTAAAAGCTAACAAAGTATTTCGCATTATCGAAAGTAAGAAAAGAAAGAAAACTGTAATCTGACGTTTTTTCCCCAATTTATCTCAGGCGGCTTTGACACAGGCATTCAGTTCTGCGACTGAAAATGAGTGACGTCATTTTCATTATTTCCTTAGCGCAATTAAAAATTCCAATAAGAAATTAAACTAAACAAGCAAACGCAGGGAAACACATGAACTATGAACAAGTTTTATAAATCTCAGCTTTTCGTGAACCTTATTAAGGTTTAAAGTGTCACTGTACTTATACCACGTTCTGAAATACGTTATTCTTCCTCTCCCCGGCTAGCACAATAATTAACAANCGAAATAATAGCTAAAAATATGGCAAGAACAGCAAGAAGACAATTCGAAGGGCGACATCCCATTTGGAGAATATTTGGGGAGCTGAACAACCCTAAACGTCCCCGGCTCCTGTAAACGTGCATTATCGAAGATGAACTTAACATCGGTGGAGGTAAGCATGGTTTAGCTATGTTTTTAAACTAGGAATTATTTTGAATGAATAATATAACAATTATAGCCTGCGTAGCAAGCGTTTCGGTGCTGTTTCCGAGCAAGGACCGCGCGAAAAATGGCGCGAGTAAGCGGGGAGGGGGTGGGGAAGAAAGGAAGGAAACCTTCCCCTCCCCCTCCCCCCTCTTTCATTTTTTAGCTCTCGTTTCATTTCTCGCGCGGCCAAAACCGAGAATCTCGTTCCTCGGTCTTTCTTTGCTCCGAAACAGCACGGAAACGCTTGCTACGCAGGCTAAAACAATTATTGAATTCGGCTTTCGTATCATATGAAGAATTATGGAGATCGAGGAGGGTGTTATCCGCCTCGGCCTACGGCCTCGACGGATAACACCCTCCTCGATCTCCATAATTGTTCATAAGATACTCAGCCTCATTCATTAATTGTTAATTAATGAATGAGGCTGTGTATCTCAAGAAGAATTATGGAGATCGAGGAGGGTGTTATCCGTTAAGGCCGTAGGCCGAGGCGGATAACACCCTCCTCGATCTCCATAATTCTTCATATGATAAGAAAGCCGAATTCAATAATTGTTATAGCCTGCGTAGCAAGCGTTTCCGTGCTGTTTCGGAGCAAAGAAAGACCGAGGAACGAGATTCTCGGTTTTGGCCGCGCGAGAAATGAAACGAGAGCTAAAAAATGAAAGAGGGGGGAGGGGGAGGGGAAGGTTTCCTTCCTTTCTTCCCCACCCCCTCCCCGCTTACTCGCGCCATTTTTCGCGCGGTCCTTGCTCGGAAACAGCACCGAAACGCTTGCTACGCAGGCTATAATTGTTATATTATTCATTCAAAATAATTCCTAGTTTAAAAACATAGCTAAACCATGCTTACCTCCACCGATGTTAAGTTCATCTTCGATAATGCACGTTTACAGGAGCCGGGGACGTTTAGGGTTGTTCAGCTCCCCAAATATTCTCCAAATGGGATGTCGCCCTTCGAATTGTCTTCTTGCTGTTCTTGCCATATTTTTAGCTATTATTTCGTCCAGTTCTTACTTTTGAAACGAGTGAAATGTCCGCCATTTTTGTCTTCACAACCAAAACAACTCAACCTCGTCCCCAGGTCTTCTCGGTTAACGGTGCATTAACCTGCAAGGAAGCTGCACTTTTGACGTCATCAGTTGATTAATCGCAAAATTCTTCCAAATTTGGTCATCAGTAGCTGGTAATGGTGAATTATGCTTGTGTTTTTAGCCAATCAGAATCGGGGAAATATTTTGAATGAATAATAACACGTTTTATCATTCGATGAAAATTTCTCTTCCTTTTCATTGGCTGAGAGCCCACCACCTGACCTGCAAATAACTTCCTCCCAATAATGATCTGATCATGCGCGATGTCGTCCAACTGTGTTTGGCTGCAAGTAATATTTTGCCTCATGAGTAAATGAAACCACGCTTTTCTCTCACACACTCTTGCTTGAAAATGTCGCTGACCTTTCAGAAAGCGATATTCGTTAAAAAACAAACTCGATAACCTAATGATAAAACAGTTATTGAACTCGGTTATCGAAAAATATCATGATTTTTTAGTGTCTCGCAGATCAGTTATTTCGCTCAGCCTTCTCAGTGTTCACCGCTAACAAATCCCGATATTTCGTTCAACCTCGTCCAATAATTGTTAATTGTTATAGTAGGAGTTATATCAGGTCCCTGATA